CTGCAAACAGGGGTAGTTTGACTTTCTCTATTCCTATTTGTATGCCCTTTTTTTCTTTTCTCTTGCCTGATTGCTGTGGCCAGAACTTCTAATTCTATGTTGAATAGGCACGGTGAAAGAGGGCATCCTTGTCTTGTGCCAGTTTTCAAGGGAAATGCTTCCAGCTTTTGCCTATTCAGTATGTGGTTCATCACATAAACTAGCCTCCTCACCATTGTTCAAGGCGAAGGGCACCTAAATAAAGAGCATGATTGATTAGTTTGGCTGATTACCAAAGTATTTAGGTTCATAAGAGTGAAAAAGGGAAGCAGCAGCCTCAATCTGCAACATCTGCCCATGCAATTATGCTTTAGAGACTGTGGAGGTTGTCATGCTTGAACACATCTGAGCAGCAGGAGATAGGTCAAATTAGGAGTGAGGAGACGTAAGTGCAGTACAGGCTCCAGTGTAGAAAGATGAGGGGAATGTATAGTCTGTAATGAGGCAATCTAAAAATGGTTTATTCTCAAGTGGTAGCCCAACAATGAGGCAATTTCTCTGGTTCTTCAACTCTTCAAGAGAATAATCATAAAAGATTTATAAATAATCCCATTTCAATGGAACACTGAATCTGAGAGGAGAAAGCAGCCTTTAGAAGCAAGCTATCCTAGCACTGTGGATAGATGTCATTCTTACTGCCAGAATGATTGGGCAAGATAACATACGGAATCATTAAAGAGAGAAAGTGAATTTGTGCCTCCACTAAAAAGGTTTATAGAGTAGTACTGACTATAGAATTTCCTTCCTGTCTTTGATTGGTAGGAGTGGGTATGTAGAGAAGTACAATGTATCAAGCTTCTTAGGATTGATTAAAGAGGCAGAAATACTATGAATGATATAAGGTTTATTACAGGTATGAGACCTTAGGTCAGCAGGGCTAACAGCCAGGAAGAAAACATGGATGTGAATTGACAGAAAGTAAGAATTAAACAGGAGCCAGGATGGACTGGAATACACAAGGACAGCCTAGAGTCTATTTCTGTCCTTCATTATTTCAAACCTTGACAATGCCGGTGATTTTCAAAAGGAGCTGGTACCATTTACCATAGAGCTGCACCATGTACCTAGTCTAGGACTTGGAGAAACAGAAGGAAGGGATTTAAACAGCAGATGATGCCCCAAGCCAATGAGGTGAACCTGCAATCAATGGTAAGGAGCATGAGCTGCAGCAGTACCAGATTCTCTACGCTGACCTTCAGAGAATGGTTGCTGCTTCATTTCTGCCTTCTGGCATCACAAAACTATATTTTGTGGCCAGCCTAGCCAGGAACCACAGAGGGAAGGGAAGTCTGGGTAACATGGTTCCAGCTTGGTCAAGATGACATAGTACAAAGCCCCTATGGCATTAAACACATCTGAGAAGTCTTGGCTGAACTAAATGGAGAATATTAGTGGCTCCTCTAAGTAAAAGTCCATTATCTCACCTATTTTCTCTATCACATATCTAATTATCTTTCTAATTTAGCTATTCCAAGGGGCGAAATTTATTCCCTTTCCCTCATACTTGTATCCCTTGAATGGTTATGTGTCTATTAATCACATTCATCTTTATCCAACTTATTTCACCAATCAGGACTGAGACAGGAAGTAATATTCTTACAGAAAGATGCTCATTCCAACTCATCATTGCTAGTAACATAACTGGACACTTGGGCTATTGGTTCCATGTGAACTTACTTTCTCTAGTTGCTGAAAACAAAAGTAGTCAATGATATTTCCTAAAAAGGAGATTAGTTTATTTTAAAACACTGAAGACATAATACTGGTTTGTGTTGGTCAGGCAATATTTCCAGAAGGTCATATCCCTCAGATTTAGGCTTTTATTCTCAGATTTTCCACAGAGGCATTTCTCAGGGTCAATACCTGAACTTCTAGAGTACAACCAGAGAAGGTCCTACAGCCAGGGCCTCTTACTAAGCCTCTCTAGCAGGATACGGGCTACTATGCCATGAATATAACTTTGAGGCTTGCAAATGATAGAAAGGAAAAAAATCGTTCTCCAAAAGCCTCCATTCTGGCTGACCAAATATTCAGGAATGGCAGGACAGTGTATAATTTATGAAGGATGGTCACATTGAACTATGGAGACAAAGAAGAACATCCCAATCATTCCCTAGGGAATTCTTTTCATTTCTTCTGTGACCAATTCTACTCTGTCTGCAAATTCTGAACTCACTATTTACCTCAGGGAGATGTCAAATCAGATCAGAGACCAAATACATCCAATTCTTATCTTTTCAGTTCAAAAGTCTTGATCACAAAATACAGAAAAGAGTTCTATAAGGATCTAAAGTGGTAGAATAGGTTTTTCTTCCTGGCTTCAGATTAGGTTAAGCACAAAATATCCTCTGGTGCCTGGCAGTAGAGGAGACATTCGTTGGGATCAGCACACCCCTAACACCATCAAGCTGAGGCTTCCAAGACTCCCAGTGCTGTGGGGTGAATTCTGAGTGCTCCTGGGACACAGTGAGATGAAGAGCTTGGCTGAGAGCAAGAATGATCATACTGGCCAGTTTGTACAGAGTCCTGCAGTCAGGATGAAGGATGGGTTCCAGACAGATGTGGACCAGCTGGTCTCTTCCAGGATCCTATGACTGATTTCAGTGGATCAACAATACCAGAGAATCCAGGAGGTCAGTGCTCACAGGTCATGATGTGAGGGGGCACCGTATGTTACAGAACAAGACACGTCTGGGTCAAAGGCCAGACAAGGAACAATAAGCAGAAGGCATTCCTCTTTCATGTGACTTCCTTTGTGACAATTTGGTAAAATCCCACTTCATCCTCTACTGCAGTTTTAAATCTAACACAGGAAGGTGACAGGAAAACTCCTGGGGGTGTTTTGAAAATTGTATCAGAATGAATTATAAACTGGAATTGACTAAGATCAATGTTAATTGGATTTGGTAGAATGTGGCTGTCATCTATGATTCATTTTATGTTTATTCAAAGACCCATTCTGGCTGATGTAGAAAAACCTGAAGCCAATTATATTTTTACATAACTGGGTCTGTGACTATAAGATTTATGCTTGTTTTACAAGGAATTGTCTAGGGGTGTTTTGTTTTTACAAACATAGAGCTCATTAGGTGGGTGTAACTCTAGTTGAAAAGCCTCAGATGTACATGAGTGGGTGCCAGGCAGCCAAGGGGAACAGAGAAAAGCTGGCTTTGTTTATACAACTATCTGCAGAGAAGCAAAATGGAGGGAGCTTTCTAAAGCCAAGGTCAGTACATTCATAAGTCATGATGAGAACATTCTCTGGCCTTTCCTGGAACTTGTTCCAATTACTCTTCTCCAATTATCATCACCTCCAACCCCCCAGTGCCTTTTAGTGTATGGTAAGTATTAAGAGACTTGTTTTTATTCTTTATGTGCCAGGTACTATAGAAGCATTTTACGTTATCACATTCTTATAAAAAATCTGTAAGGGGCTGCCATTAGTTTCATTTTCAAGAGGAAACTGAGGCTTACATTATACAACATGTCTGGTCTGACAGATACTGTTTCAGGTCCATCCTCTGCTCTTTGATTTCAGAGCAGAGCTTCTTAGCCACCTGTTAAGAACATAAAATCACAACAATGCCTCTTCTCTCAACTGTCTCCCAATCTTTACTTTTTCCGTGAAGACCTGTAGACTCAAAAGAGGCTGATGGTAGTGTATTTTATTCCCACTTTAAGTGCTAGTGATGGGAAAGAAACATTTGTGTGACAGGGAAATGTGACATTGGCTTTGAATAAGAGATTCAATTGTTGGAGTTATTTGTCTTATCTTCATAATGTGCATTCTCCAGTGTATATTCCCTTCCATCCTGTTTGGAGATAACACCTTCAGCATGAGAAGGCCTACCCATGATTACTGCTGACAGTGGGACTAAATGCTGTAATGTGCTTCAGCTCATACCCCAAGTATAATAGAACTTGTCATGAGTGGTTGTCCCTGGGTGGAATAGTAGCATATGCACAAGTGATATTCTCTTTATCTGCTATCATTCAACACCATGTGAAGACACTAGAGATGACTGGTGTTTGGTCTTGGTCTATGGTAGACCCAGCAGACCATCCAGGGAAAAATACTTTGGTATGGGGTTTCTAAGGTTATTCTTTCAGAAAGTTCTTAGTGTAATACGAATCCTACTAGTTTTAATTAAGACCAGGTTTTAAGAGCCCTCATGCTATATGCACACTCTGCTTTACATGGTATAAAAAGATTTTAGGCATTATGCCAAGGAGATATCCTGTGACAAAAGTTCCTGGTCACTTTCCTCAGCACTAGTGCTATTGCTGGACTTGAATATCATCTTCTCCAATGCCTGGGCTTATGATTAGGAGATCATCTATAAAATAAGTTTCTGGCTCAGACTTTTATTTGGAGTTGAGGAAAAGATACTAACCAGTAGATTACATTTGGCACTAAAATTATGTTCATAGAAGCCTATCTTCTCTCAATATTAGATTCAGACACTGGACTGCAGAGACCTTGAAAAAGATGGAGGAATGACCACCTCTTATGTCAAGACAATAGAGAAAATTAAAATGTGACTCAACTTGGTCCTGGAGTTAGGCATAGATTGAGGACATAGAAATTTAGAACTAGTCAGGGGTTCAGGGGTTTAGACTAAACTTTAGAAAAGAGCTCATGCATTTACAGTTTCCTACATTTTTGGCAGGGGTGGAGGTGGGGGTCGTGGGAGTGATATTAAGTTTATATACTAGCTGCGGTTTGATTACTGGCTTCTTTAGAATTTTGTCTTTAAAAACACTAAAGCAACTTATTTTTAACCTACAATCGGTCACTTTAGCCTTCTTAGATGTTATTGTTTATAAATGTAGTTAAATGATTTAAAATTGGAAACATCTGAGAACTAAAATGTACATAATCATAATTTTGGATCACTAGGATTGGGAGTGACTGCTTCATTCTACTTGTCCACTTGCCATGCATTGCCACAAAATTCCTGCAGGTTTCTGGCCTGAAGTAGTCCTCATTACAGAACCTTTGTGATCAGTGAATAATGAAAGTGGTCAAATCATAATTCAGAAGTAGCAACAAGAATTATCCAGTGAGATCTGGAAGCATTTCAAAGTTTACAAGCACCACAGGACTTCCATCTATTCTCATCACCTTTGGCTTATCAGCTACCCCAACCCCCTTCACAATCCCATTACCTTCTTCCCTCTATGCCATTTCGTTATTTTGGTGTGGCTCCTATCTACCAGATATGCCAATCTCAGGGCCTCTGAAATGGAATCTTCTAATACCCTTCTCTGTCTACTCTTCCCTGCTCTCAGCTAACCCTATTATTAGGAGATAAAGAATATTGCAAACTCATCTGTCTAAATGGGGCAAGACTTGGTTTGAGGATTTTAATTCCTGCGGGTGGTAAGGTCTCATTCCAAGTCCTATTAAGATTTCTCATACTTATATTATTTTTATGCTCAACTGAAGGCCTTTTCTGGGGCAAGCCAAAAGGTTGGAAAAGCTTGTCAACAGTTGAGATTTTCCAGAATTTTACTAACAGAATTTGTAAACTGCCCAAGATGTTAGAACATAATTCTGCCTTCTAGAAATTCTGCTTTATAACATTCTACAAAGAGGAATGAAGTTTTATACCAAAAAAGTAAAGGATAAAAATTATCTTATTTTCTGTGGCCTGTATGCTTATGTTGCTTAAGTTTATAGTTAAACAGGGAATTGTAGTACAAAACTCATGCCATGATTTTCTTCACTTTCAGATATTAGGTCTATACTGTATAGAAAATCCATGATCAAACAGAATAGACTTTAGGATTGCTCTTAGACTCTTATCCTCAAAGTTCAGGTAGGACCCAGACATTTCATGGGATTTCCCAGTTAGCGCTTTGTCCTGTCATGACTAAGTATTATATGCCCCATAAGAAAACATAACTATTGAGTACTGATTTTAATACCTACGTGATGAAATAATCTGTACAACATATCCCTGTGACATGAGTTTACCTATGTAACAAACCTTTACATGTATTCCTGAACCTAAAATAAAAAGATATAGAACAGTCACCTGGTTTGAGTCCTTGCCTTAATATGGAGAAGAGTCTCTCGGATCTGCTTGGTGCGGACAGCATAGACAATTGGGTTGAGGATAGGTGGGATGAGGAGGTAAAGGTTGGCCAAAAGGATATGGATATGGGGAGGCACACGATGGCCAAAGCGGTATGTGAGAGAGGAAACAGCAATGGGGATGTAGAAGACGAGGATGGCACAGATGTGAGAGCCACATGTCCCTAAGGTTTTAAGCCTGGCTTCAGAGGTGGCCAAGCCCATTACAGCCCTGAAAATCATCACATAGGAGGCAGTGATGGCCAATGAATCCAGGATTAATACCAGGAAGCCAATCCCCATTCCATATAAGTTGTTGATCCTTGTGTCACCACATGCCAAGGCGACCACAGCCATGTGCTCACAGTAGGAATGGGCAATGATTTGGGTCTGGTAAAGGGGTAACCTCAGGTGAATCATTAGGGGCAGAGGTCCAATGTAGATTACCCCTCGGAGGAGGGCAGCCAGTCCCAAACGACCTGCCACAGCATGGGTGAGCAACGAGGTATGGTGCAGTGGGTCACAGATGGCCACATAGCGATCAAAAGCCATGGCAAGGAAGATGCCTGACTCAACAGTGGCAAAGCAATGAATGAAGAACATCTGGGCCAAACAGGCATTCACACCAATGTTATGGGCACCAAACCAGAAGATGGCCAGTAGTTTGGGCATGGTAGAGGTTGACAGGACCAAGTCAATGACAGCCAACATGCACAGGAAAAAGTACATGGGCTGGTGCAGGCTGTGCTCCATCCTTACCACTGCCAGAATGGTCATGTTCCCCAGCACAGCTACCAGGTACATGGAGCCAAAGGGGATGGAGAGCCAGATGTGCAGGGATTCCAGGCCAGGGATGCCAGTGAGCTGGAAAGAGGTAGGCATGGAGCAGGCATTATTTGGGGTTAACATATTCAGGGACCTGGGGATCCAGGAGACAGGAGCTCTTAGTTTCAGATTTTTGCTCTTGTGAGTGATACTGCTTCTGGGAACTGTAGACTAGATTCTCATTTCCTTCCAGGGTGACTGGTGGTGCCTATAATAAAGAAGAATTCTGAATGCCAACTTGAAAAAAAATCAGTTCGTGTTTTATCAGATAAATTGTCCATAACAATACCTGCTATTAAGTGTAGAAATAGGCATGCTCATGATTTTTACTAAATCACCCTACCACACTGTAAAAATCCCCAACATTATGCATCCCTTTTAACTCATAATTTTACTCAAAGGAACTTTTTCTGAAGGAAACAAAATACAAAAGAGTTCTACGTGTAATAGTTAAACGTAAATCCATGTAATGTGTTTAGCCAGTGCCTGCATATGCTTCTCTTATCACTGATCAATAGCAACACTAATAAAAAACATACTGATTAGATGTTTGCAACAAATTTTTTACTAATGTCAAGTTGGAATCATGTGCCCACAAATAAAGCATTGTTTAAATTCTACTACATCCATTCAGTGAATTAGATTATATTGATATTTTAAAAGATAAGCACTTCCTGGTATAATGTTCACATCATAGTATAATATGTCAGGGAATAGCAGGAGGCAGATTAAACTATGGTTTAATTGTATTAAAGTGTATGCATGTGAGAGAGAAACACACACCCTTAAATAGAAAACTGTCTAGGAAGATTTGGACCCAGCTTTTGAATGTTGATTTTGGGTAGATGAGATTTGTGCTTTTTTATATTATGCCTTCAAAAATGATCAAGAGCTTTTAAAATAAGGTTATAAAATATCAAAACCTGCTAAAAATGTAAAGAGAAAATGTGCTATGGTAAATGTACTAAGGAAGCACATTACCTTTTCTCTGAATGGGTTTAACATTGGTTTGTTCAGATTGTCAAATCTAGTTGATCAAAGATATTTAGCACAGGACCCACTTTTTTTGAGAAAGTCTTGCTCTGTCACCAGGCCAGAGTGCAGTGGTGCAATCTTGGCTCACTGCAACCTCCGCCTCCTGGGTTCAAGTTTTTCTCCTGCCTCAGCCTCCCACATAGCTGGGACTACAGGTATGTGCCACCACACCCAGCTAACTTTTATATTTTCAGTAGAGATGGGGTTTCACCATGTTGGCCAGGATGGTCTTGATCTCTTGACCTCATGATCCACTCACACTTAAAGTTGCCCAGACTTGATGGTTAAACAAAATGAAAACGGATATGAGTTTTTAAGAAATGTTTACTCTAAGGACAGTATCTGTTTACTCTAAGGACAGGATCTATAAGTTTTCCTGGCCAGAATCTTAATATCACCTATAATTTGAGATAAAAAAGAAATACATATTTGGGCAACTTTTACTAGATATTTTGTCCATCTAATAGGGATTAAAAAAGAATGGACTGATATGACAGTCAGCAAGACCCTTCTGCCCGACCACATCCTTCTTGGCCTCCTTGTGAGGAGACAGGAAGATCAGTTTATAAAAACCCTTGTCTACTTTTTGCCCTCTGTCCTTCAGATGCTTCTAAAAGTCTAGCAAGGAATCCTATTGTTCACATCCTGAAGGTTCAGAATCAGGATCTGACATGTCCTCTGTCTCAGGCCTGCCCTCCTGACCATTCTTACCATTAGTCAGCAAGTCCCATGACACCACACATTTTTGCTAAGTTTCACTACCTCTTTGGTTTTTACCTAGGGAAATTTTATATCCCTCGAGGCCCTTAACCCGGATCACCCTTCTTTGGTATCTCTAGTCTATACCAGAGTGGGTGCGTAAGGAGGAAGAGACGCCATAGTCGCCACATTCCCCCAAATTTTCTCAAACAAGCACATACACATTTTAATTTATCTAAAATTTAAATAGCAGTTACACTTCCGTAGCAAATAAGCATAAGAAACTTTCCTGTGCAGACTCATGGCTCCTTAATTCAGGCTCCAACATTCAGTTTATGCTTTTATGAGTTAACATTTGGTCAGGCATTGACTGAGTGCTAAATAGAAGTATGAAAATTTTGTGAACTTAATGGTTGATGAGTTTTTCCATATTAACTGATTCTTTAGTGACTCTAATTCTTCAATAAGTAAATAAGTTATAATTCATATACAGTCATTTCTTCTGGATTCATTGGGTAAGTTGGGAAAGGAAAGTAGGTCCTGGAAGGCAGTCCCACACAGCTGCTCAGGGCACTGACTTGCTACTAACAAGCCAGATTTCCCTTCCAGACCTTCATCTTACCCTGGGCAAACTGCTTAACCTATTGCCTCCCTTTTATTTATGTGTGAAGTGGGGAGAATATTGCAAAGGATAAGTATATAGAACTAATGAGATGAGTGTGAAGTTCTTGGCACATGACAGCACCTGCCCTTCCCTGAATTCTTGCTGTTTAATATGGGAATAGACTAAAATTTACATTTTATATATTAGAGTGATTTCCTTGTGTTTCTGTTACATAGGACATCTTAGATTTAGGAGATGTTGTAAAAGTATAGGAACTGTATGAATGGAACAGGGATCCAAGATGAACATTAGTCAATGTGCAATTTTATATATAAAAGGAGAATCCCTAACATCTTCTCGAAAATTGTAGTGGATCATCCTCCTAAAGCAGGAAGGAACCCAATTACTCAATGTGAGGGTAAGTCAACAGTGGCTACTCATCACAAAAAGTGTCCAGAGAAAGTTGGGACAAGAGAAAGTTGAACATATTGTTATTGTGTGCATACATATACATATACATGTACATATACATATACATATACCCTATTGGCATCTTAAATGGTGATCTGAACTAGGTTGTGGCACCTAGAGCACTCCAGAGAAATATTTTCTGTGTCAGCCCACTTGAAGGCATCCTTACCTGGACACTGGTGACATGCCCACAAACCCTGGGAGAGGCATTTTGATGGTGAGTTCAAGGATTTTGAAAGATTGTTATGGTGACAAGCATGGATTAGATTAAGTTCAAATACTAACTCTACTGTTTCTGGCTCTGTGACATTAGACAATATAAAGTGTTTATTTTGTTTTCTGGTCTGTATAATGCAGGGGAGCAATAGCTACCTTGGAGTTCCTTCATGTATTAAGTAAGCTGTTTGTAAATGTGTGTGTATATATACAGAGAAAGCCAAGGTTTACGATGCCTGGCCTCTGAATGGGTGCTGTGTTCTTTTTACCTGCTCTTCCTCCCTGTTCTTTGACCCATTCCACAGGATTCAGACAGAGTGCTATTTCATATGACCTTTGACTTTATTTTTTCCCATGGTGTGGGGTTAGCCTCTTTAATGTGGATATAATCAATTGAAGAGACCTGCCAATAGTGTGAGAATAAAGTCAGCAGAGAAGGCTGCCTTACTGTGAAGCAGAAGACAAGAAGACTGATCAGGCTGGAATAGTCCAATCTTTTCTCTCCTGTTCTGAAGAAATACTAGGCAACCAAGCCTTCCACTTTGGGGCTCCTCTTCTCCTTTGATTCAATCTCAGGCAGTTTATACTCAACTTATTTTCTCTACTTTTGACTAGATCTGTGAGGAAGGACCTAGATGGACCAAAAAGCAAATATAGTTTCTGAAACTTTGAGATTGCTTCCAATAACTTTGGCCCCTTCTCTGGAATGTACTTACTTACTGGGGTATTGTCTGTAGAGCTCTGGGTTCTGTTTCTTAACAGTGGTCATCTCTGGTGTGGATGCTGGAACAAATTTGACTGTCAAGGGGAGGCAATGCCACTGATCTCTTCAATTTCTTCTCTGCTTTTTTTTTTTTTTTTTTGGTTAGAAAACAGCCAATTACTTCCCAAGGGTTGCACAGAGAAGCCTGCGCACTTCCATTTGGACATTTAGTTACCCTCTTGGGAACAGTCTCCACTACACCCATCACATTCTACCTCCAAGGACCGGAATACAGACTTATTCCCACCTCCCCGCTTCTGGGCTCTTGGCTGGCCCCAGGTCTCTGACAATCCTCCCCTGGGCCAGAGGTACTCAAGGATGCCAAGAGGGATACTGAAGAGAGGTTACAAAAAAAGGGTGCGAAAAACCCCTTGGGTATTGGCCTAACCAATATAAACACTTTTCTTTGGTTAATCATTGCTATTATAAAAAAAATCTTAATATAAAAATCTAGGCTATACAAAGAAAATTACTTAAATACAAATGTTGTTCACATTGTAAATTTGCATTCTACTACTTTTTTCAAGTTGTTTTTGCTTAAAAATTTGTATAATCACAAGTTGAAATAGTTTATGTCCATTTCTGTGGTTATTTTACCTACACCTCCCAGTCTATCACTGATGGGCATTTGGGTTGGTTCATGTCTTTGCTATTTTAGATAGTGCTGCAAATAGATTTATATTCCTTTGGGTATATACCTAGTAATGGGATTCCTGGGTCAAAAGGTATTTCTGGTTCTAGATCCTTGAGGAATTGCCACACTGTCATCCACAATGGTCGAGCTAATTTACGTTCCCACTAACAGTGTAAAAGTGTTCCTATTTCTCCACAGCCTTGTCAACAGCTATTGTCTCTTGACTTTAAAACTGTCTCTTCATGTCTTTGCCTACTTTGTTTAATTTTACTTTAAGTTCCAGGATACAAGTGCAAAACGTATAGGATTGTTACATAGGTATACATGTGCCATGGTGGTTTGCTGCACCCTATCCACCCATCATCTAGGTTTTCAGCCCTGCACGTATTAGCTGTTTGTCCTAGTTGTCTCCCTCTCCTCACCCGCCAACCTCCAACTGGTCCTGGTGTGTGTTCTTCCCCTCCCGGTGTCCATGTGTTCTCATTGTTCAACTCCTACTTATGAGTAGATCATGAGGTACTTTTCTGTTCCTGTGTTAGTTTGCTGAGGATGATGCTTCCAGCTTCATCCATGTCCCTGCAAGGACATGATCTCATTCCTTTTATGGCTGCATAGTATTCCATGGTGTACATGTACCACATTTTCTTTATTCAGTCTATCATTCTTAATTTTTAAAACATCCCGCAGAAACACCAACATTTGTATTGGCAGACGAGTAAAGCAGATTGCTCTCTAATGTGGGTAGACCTCATCCAATGAGCTGAAGGCCTAACTACA